AGAGCGTTATCGTGAGAATTAAATGAGTTAATGCAGGTTAAATGCTTCAGCACAGGGCCGGACACATAGCAAGCACTCAGTAACGTTCACTATTTTTCTTACTATGATTATTACGATTACATTCAAACAATTACCAAGTCGGGCCAACTTTTCTTGGTAATTAGTTCTCAAATTAATTACCTTTTCTTTGAAACTGCTTCCCTTTACACTGCACCACCTTTTGGATATAACACTTGCTGCACTCTTCCTAACTTCCTCCAGGTTTGCTCCCTCCTGTGTAGCCTCTAGAGTCCACACAGGAAATGTGAACATACCATAGAAAACCAGCTTCCGGGATCGAGTTCAACGGCGTGGAAGGGCCCCGTCATCTGGTCTCTCTGTGGAACCCTCCACTCCACCCCCTGCGCACACACACACATCACACAGCGGCAAACGCCCCCCTATATACCATGCAGGTGCTCGTGCCATATGCCTTCGGCAGCCATGTCCCGGCCTTCCCTTCCCTTCGTCCGTCTGCCCTACTAATCCTCGGGCTCAGCAATGAGGCAACTCCCCCACCAACCTCCACTGACCCTCCTGAGTCGTGGCCTTTCTATGCCTGTAATAACCACCTGTGTGTCTCCAATACTGAACTGAGGCACACAGCTTAAAGAGCATGTCTCCCATCTTGAAGCGTGAGCCTAGCACAGACCCTAAGACAACGGGTATACTGTAGGTGCTCAATAAAACGCTGCCTGGCTGGGTGAATCACCAGACTATGCACATTTTCTCAGCTGCTCACATAGGGAAAATGCACTTAGGTTTGCAAATAGCTTAGGCCTATTTTTAGCATGTCGCTTAAGGAAAATGACAGAGGTTGTCCGGGAAAATGGAAACCTTAGTAAGGCTCTACCTAGTTTGAGGCACTATTGTAAGCAGTAATGAGAGAAGGTACAGGGTCATGCCACCTTTCATTTGAAGCCATTTATACTTTCCACAACTGTCAGTAGTTCATCAAAATTTACAGAGATGGATGGTAACATGGATCCTTCCAGTGGAATTTTTCCTAACTTACCTGAAATCAGAGTTTCTAAACTCTGAAATTGATCTGTTAAGAATTTTTAAGACAGTTCATAGTGGAAATATGAGACAATCAAAATCAAATTTAGAAGGTTTTTTTTTTTTTTTAAAGAGTTTTGCTGACTGAATGAGGAAAAAAAATACAATTACCTGATGCCTGGGTTCCACCCCAGAGATTCTGACTTAAGTGCCTAAGGTAGAAACCAAGAAGAACATTTTTTTGTTAAGTTCCCCCAGATAATTCTAAAGACTAGTGAGGGTCGAGATGCACTCCTATGAAATCTAAAATTTGTTCCTTTATGCCTCATTGTTCTTATATGTAAAATGGTGGCAATTACGCTTAGATTTATGGATAACTGAAAATCCTTCTGAAAGTACAATTCATAACTAAATGTTAAGTGGAGTCCTTTCTTTTTATTCTATCTTGGGTCACTGAAAAAATAAAGTCTGGCTTATTAAAACCACCTGATCGATAAGCATTAATATCCATATTACAGAGGGATATTTAAAATCCATTATAGGGGGCGCCTGGGTGGCTCAGTCGTTAAGCGTCTGCCTTCGGCTCAGGTCATGATCCCGGGGTCCTGGGATCGAGTCCTTCATCAGGCTCCCTGCTCAGCAGAGAGCCTGCTTCTCCCCCTCCCACTCCCCCTGCTTGTGTTCCCTCTCTCACTGTGTCTCTCTCTGTCAAATAAATAAATAAAAATCTTTAAAAATAAATAAATAAATAAATAAAATCCATTATAGGACAAACAAAAAAAGATCCCCAAACTGTAATCTTAATTAACCCACAATCAAATGCATACTAAAAATAAAGGTATGAGTCGGAAAGATAACTGAGAGTAATAATATTTCCAGAAGACTGAGCCGTAGGTCCTCTGTGTATAAATCCCTATTTGTGAGCATGGCATGTTTTTCTCCAATCATGGAAATGAAAGGAGATCTCAGCAAAGTATTGAAGAGGTACTGTTTCTGTGCCTGCATTTCAATGGGCCCTGAGGGAGAGATCTGAAATGACAAATACGAAACTTCACTGTAAAATTACGCTCAGTATGACATAAAATTTAATATTAGAATCTCCTTAAAACGAAAATAGTTAAAGCAATCACACCACATCCTGTAAACATCTATTTTTCTTCTCCTGAAATGTCCTATTCAATCTTTTTTCAATTCTTTCAGGAAACATTCTATCATTGCCACTGAGGGGGATCAGGGCACGTCACCCCAAAATACACCACTTTGGCATAAGAACGATTTTGAGCCGAAGGCATCTGAGTTCTGAAATTGCTTATCTGCCTGAAAGCAGAGCCTTCCCCCAAAATTCAAAATCCCTGTCATAAATCCCCTCCCCAGGCAACTCTGCTCTCTCCAGGCACCACACCCAGCCCCTGCCACACACTATCACACCGCCCATCACTTCTCCTAAGGGCCCACTTAGCTTTCCAAATAGTCCCTTCCTTTCTTTTAAGTGCCTTTCTCCTCCTCCCTCTCCCTGCTAAGTTAGGTGCACAGACCCCAAGTCCAACCCTCCTTTGAGTTGCTCAGGGCTGGGCACCATGTGAATGCAGGATGCACCTGTTAATAAGCTTCTGTTTTTCTCTTGTTGATCTGCTTTTGTCAGACCAATTTATAGGGCCTGGCTGGAGAACCCAGCAGGATAGAAGGAAAAATAATTTATTTTCTTCCCGTACAATACTTTGATATCTGACTTTACATTTACATATATACATCTCTCTCAGCTTTAAAAAGCTATTTTTTTTAAATCTGGTAAAAAAAACCCCAAAAAACATAAGTACCTGAAACAGTCAAAGTTTTAAAACCCTTGGAGACTCTGGGTGTCTCTTTAACTTTTCAAACTAAATATCAAAACCACAAAAACCATACCAAAGTGCTTATTGCGTGAGGCAAGACTGCTGTAAGGAAGAGAGCGAGTAACAGCAAAATATCTACAGCGCGTCCAGCTATGCATTAAGATCAGCCTCCGCTCCATGAGGATCCTCGCCAAATAGTTTTGTGATTATATTTAACCCACTTTACTAATACTATTTCATCTTTTATCATCATTCCATTATTTATCTCTTACTAAAAGATAAATTTGAAAGACTAAAATTGTATGGTGGCAAAATAAGTTCAAATTAAAATTTCCTACTTGAAAAGCTAACAGAGAACTACATTTTATAGTGGGAAAGACTGGAAATACCTTATTGCTATTAATAATGGCGGATAAAATAAAGGAAAGGCGGATAAAAAGTATTCCTGGAAATTAATAAAGCATTTAACATGCAACTGTGATAGACAGATATATAAAGTCATGTAGGCAAACACTGAGCAGTATCTCCTCAATTAGAAGAAAATTAGCTTTAGAAGCATCAGAGATGCAGAGCACTTCTGCTGTATGAAAAAAAGCACATGAAAGACACAAAATATACTTATTACTTTTAGCATGTTAAAAACAATCACATCAAAAAAAGTATACAGATAAAAATGTCATAGATGACATAAGAAAATAGTGTGTGTATATATATATTTTGCATATATATATATATGTATATATATATATAAATCTACAGTATTTACCACTGTTGACATATATATTTTGGAGCAGCTCAGATGCTACTATCATAACCTAAATTATACAGCTTGGTTCATTACAAGTCACAGAATCATGGTTTAAACATTGGAATTAATATCCTCAGCTACATGTTTTATCTACATTTCTTTCTAAGCCTCCACACGATCTGAATCAAGAGCCCAGGGAGAGAGGGATTTTGTGTGCGCTTCAGCATACAGCTGAGCTGCTAACACACTGCCATTTGTTCTGCTGTTTAATAACATCATTACCAAGTTGATTAAAATTACATTAGACTCATTATATACATAAAAAATATTGTCACATTCACTAGCTAAACAAATGTTACTCTCATTTGAAAAGACATACGTCGGTACCTTGAAAGTTTAAAGTCCCAACTTGCAACAAGAAGAGCCCTCGATGTTAGGTTTTCTACTCTCGTCCTTGCTCAAACATGAGGAAAGTATGCTGAAAACCAGCCTTCCAATTAAACACAAAGTCAGACTTTCTGGGGGTGCCCAAAACTGTCCCCATGTTTTGCTAATTGTAGTGTAATAGACTATTTTTAAAAAAGACATTGTTAATTTTTTAACCATGAACCTGAATTTGTTTTCACTGCAAAAGAAAAAAAGGAGATTTTTGGAAGTATGAAAGTCATGCTATTTTTTAAAAAAGATTAAAACCTTAGACTCCTATTAATAATTAGGATTTTTTTGCAAGTATACACAATGATAATTTAATGGCCTAAATGTAGCAATATCCACTGATTATCAACCTTTAAAGAAAGAGTGCCAGAAAAAGCTCGTGTAAATGAACAGCCCGGGGCCTGCAGGAATTTAAAGGGCAGAAGTAAGAAGTAACCATATTGTTAATCCTGCTTTCAAATGGATTTCAAAGGAGTCTGTTCCGCTGCCCCGTGTGAGTGCTTGAGGAGCCTAACTTGCAACCCCTCCTGCTAGCCTCGTTGGAAAGCAGGATTGCAGCACTTTCCCTACATCTGGCAAGGAACATTCTGCTCTGAGTTTCGCAAGAGGCAGACCAGAACAAAGGGCACAGACGCACCAAAACTGCTCTAAAACTGATCTTGGGGTATGAGCAGCGCCCCACCTTTGGCCATAAACTTACTCCGAGTGCCCCAGGGTTTAAGCACCATTCAGTGGTGAGCTTTTCTCTCTCCAGTGTCTTTAATTTTCAGGAGGAAAGAAGAGGGCCACAACTGCAGAGAAACTGCATGAAGTCAGGGCAAAACCCAATGGCACTCTAGGACCTGGGGGGAAAAACATGGGGCGGGGTGGATCTTGGCTGAAAGACAAGTTCAGGAAAGGAAGAAGAGTAAATTATTTCATGGATGTAAATCAAAATTAATTTTGTTAACGTTCCTTTAGTTCTGTGTGTGCATGGAGGCCTTCTGGTATCTACTGAAAGACACACACACTATATAGAGCCTTAAAAATATCTATTCTACACGGTTTTTCAGTGCTTTCTAATGTTACTCAAAACAGGATGGGCTAATGGCGCAAAAATGCTCAGGTTTTGGAGAACGATATAAATGAAACCGAGTCATGAATTATCACTCTGCGTGCATCCCTAAATGCTATTGCTATGTTTCCATGTTAAATTCTTTTTAACAGGTTCAGTGATGATGCAATTTAAAAATGCTCATCGTAAGCAGCATCTACATGGGGATGAAACGCTCCTATATATTCTTATTACTAGCATACACTGGAATTGTGCAAGATGTTTATGTTTACAATAGTATAAAATACTGCTTTGGCAATTATAAACATAGCAATGTAGGTTTCAAATGGTTTCTGTTCTCTTGTGTTTACCAAGTACAGATAAATTCTCACAGCAATACTGATTCTTGAATAGAAAGTCCATCCCGATTTCTGTAGTGATACACTGGAGGTGAGGGCCCTGAATATTGATACCCAGAGGAACTGGCATCTTCTAAACCTGGGGAAGTTCTATATCGCACTGGACTATCTACTGAAACTGCCGGGAGGCCATGGTCCTGAAAGGGAACATGCTGAAAGGCGGAATATTTTGGTAAATTGCTCAAGTGGCCACGGTTAGCATCCTGAGTCCACGACTGTCCATGAGTCTCGGGTCTGTACGTGTAACTAACTTCCGGCCATTTTCTGTTATCTGGCAGATAATCCATGGGAGGAATGATGAATTGTCCATTCTTTGGTGACTCTGAATTGCCTGCATATCCCCCGGCACCAGTGTCAATGGGAAGAACTTCTATGCGGCTGGAGGGCAGCACAACAGGAAGCGGGCGGCTGTAAGATTTCTCTGGAGAAATATCGACTGACAGAGTAGAGCCATAAGGTCTCCGGGAGGGATTCATTTGAGTCCCATGGGTAAACTGTGGAGATGCAAAGCTGCTGTTAGCAGTAGGGATGCGTTTGGGAGAATTTCCATGGTAAACAGGGGGGTTACTGTAGGATGGAGGGTGCACTGTCCTGCGCTCCTCCCCGTCTAACGGAGATGGGTATTTTGCATAACCTGCAGGCTGCACTTTAAAAGTAAACTTGTTTAATATTCTTGATGGACTAGAACTTGGCTCCACATGCTTCCTCGGGCTGTGAGAGTAAACCACATTCCTTGGACTTTGGGAGTAGGCTCTTTCTAGTGCCTCTTCGACGGAAGCGCTGTTGTCATTTTCAGGTACGTTATCATACTGGGACGCAGTAGAGCCCCGTTTCCCTTCATCAGCATCCAAAACCTTCATCTTCTGCCTTACATTTGATACCCGAGTATCAGCAGAACTTGGGATGGTGACTGTAAGTGCAGGGTGCGCTGACCTACTTTTGCCTTCGATGGCGTATTTGGCAGTTTTTTCAATAGCTGAAATATCTGATGGCTTATTCCACTTGGGCACAAATTCCTTCCTGGTATTTGAAGTGGCATTGCTATTCTGGTTAGCAGCTGCATGATTATATTGCCTGGAACTGTCTTGTGGACCTGATGGAAGTTTTCTTGGAAGATCTGTTTCATCTTTAAGCTTTTTACTGTCTTCATCCTCTGATTTCCGTCTTAGCGCCCTTACTCGTTCTGGTGTACCAACTCTACTCTGATGGCGAGGGGAATGCTCATGTTTTTTGTGAGGTGATGAGCCACTTTCTCTTCTGCTGCTCATATGGGGACTTGACCTGCCCACACTTCTTTGTCCATTGCTCAGGTGACTAATGCAAGCAGATTCAGGTGGAAGCTGTCCCAAAGGTTTCTTTGGATATTCATCCTCTTTACCTAAAGGGAAAGATAGATTCATAAGTAACATAGATACAGGAGTAAAGAGTATCAAATATAAGAACCACACTATGAACAACTGCATGCTTTTCACATCTGCACTCATATACATACATACATCCACACACACACACACACACACACACACGCACATGCCACAGAATTTTAGGGGTTGAGAAGAAGCATTTTTTAGAGAGACTGATACTAAAACATAGCAAAATGCAAAATCTTTTTAGACAGCAGGCAGGTGGAAATATTTTATGAACTTATGAGTAAGGTTTATAGAGTTATGCAACATGTGATTCTTATGTTTTCTTAAGATATGTTGTTACAGGCTTTTTCAAAAATGCAAAGCTGATATTCTCATTTTTATTACTAAAACAATCGTGTGGGTCAGTAGTTTCATGTCTTACCATTACATTACTTTTGCTTTAACCTACCTCAATTAAAATGGTTTTGAAATCTCAGTAAAACCTCTCCTTATCAAATTCAAGCAGGTCTGCCAAATTGAAAAGGCAGGTAGTTTCAAAGTTATCCCAAAATAGCTTATTATTGTTATTATTACTAGTATTATTATCTCAAGTACCCGCCATAGTATAACATCATGATAAAAAGAAATAGTACTCCATCTCAAAGTTAATAACTCTAAAAGGATCCTACTGCAAATGCAAAAAAGGAAAAAAAATATTTAAAAAAGAAAAAGAAAGAAAATCATACTGGGTACTTTTAGTTTTATATTTTACATAACTAACATCAGAAAATTAAAGAACTAAAGGAAGGTACAATAAATTGACCATTCAGTAAACAGTTTTAGGATGTCCACTCTCAAGACTTTTATTCAACACAATACTGGAAGTCCTAGCCACAGCAATCAGACAAGAAAAAGGAATAAAAGGCATCCAAATTGGCAAGGAAGAAGTAAAACTGTCACTATTTGCAGATGACATGATACTATATATAGAAAACCCTGAAGACTCCACCAAAAAGCTACTAGAATTGATAAATGAATTCAGTAAAGTCACAGGATACAAAAATCAATGTACAGAAATCTGTTGCACTTCTATATACTAATAATGAAGCAGCAGAAAGAGAATTAAGAAAACAATCCCATTTACAATTGCACCGAAAAGAATAAAATACTTAGGAATAAATTTAATCAAAGGGGTGAAAGACCTGTACTCCGAAAACTGTAAAACACTGATGAAAGAAACTGAAGATGACACAAAGAAATGGAAAGATACTCCATGTTCATGGACTGGAAGAACAAATATTGTTAAAATGTTTACACTACCCAAAGCAATCTACAGATTTAGTGCAATTCCTATCAAGATACCAACAGCATTTTTCACAGAACTAGAACAATCCTAAAATGGAACCACAAAAGACCCTGAAGAGCCAAAGCAATTTGAAGAAAAAAAAAAACAAAAACCAAAAAACTCGAGGTATCACAATTCCAGACTTCAAGTCCTATTACAAAGCTGTAGTGATCAAGACAGTATGGTACTGGCACAAAAACAGACACACAGACCAATGGAACAGAATAGAGAGCTGAGAAGTAAACCTACAATTAGATGGTTCATTAGTCTTCAACAAAGCAGAAAAGCATATGCAATGGGAAAAAGACAGTCTCTTCAACAACTGGTGCTGGGAAAACTGGACAACTATATACAGAAGAATGAAACTGGACCACTTTCTTACACCATACACAAAAATAAACTCAAAATGGATTAAATACCTAAATGTGAGACCTAAAACCATAAAAATCCTAGAGGAGAGCACAGGAAGTAATGTCTTTAACATCAGCTGTAGTATAACATTTTTCTAGGTATGTCTGCTCAGATACAGGAAACAAAAGCAAAAATAAACTATTGGGACTACATCAAAATAAAAAGCTTCTGCACAGCAAAGGAAACAATCAACAAAACTAAAGGGCAACCTACAGAATGGGAGAAGATATTTGCAAATGACATATCAGATAAAGAGTTAGTATCCAAAATATATAAAGAACTTAATCAACTCAACACCAAAAAGAAATCATCCAATTTAAAAATAGGCAGAAGACATGAACAGACATTTCTCCAAAGAAGACATCCAGATGGCCAACAGACACATGAAAAGATGTTTAACATCACTCATCATCAAGGAAATGCAAATCAAAACTACAATGACATAACACCTCACACCTGTCAGAATAGCTAAAATGAAACACAACGAATAGTAAGTGTTGGCGAGGATGTGGGGAAAAAAAAGGAACCCTCATGCACTGTTGGTGGGAATACAAACTGGTGCAGCCACTGTGGAAGACAGTATGGAGGTTCCTCAAAAAGTTAAAAGTAGAACATTCCTAAGATCCAGTAATTGCACTACTGGGTATTTACCCAAAGAACACAAAACCACTAATTCAAAGGGATACATGTACCCATATGTTTACCGCAGCATTACTTACAATAACCAAGACGTGGAAGCAGTCCAAATGTCCACTGATAGACGCATAAAGAAGATGTGGTAATATACATACACAATGGAATATTACTCAGTCATAAAAAATAAAATCTTGCCATTTATAACAACATGGATGGAGCTAGAGTATGATGCCAAATGAAATAAGTCACAGAAAGACAAATACCATGTGATTTCACTAACATGTGGAATTTAAGAAAACAAAGCAGCAAAGGAAAAAAAAGAGAGACAGACAGACAGACAGACAAACCAAAACAGACTCTTAACTACAGAGAACAAACTGATGGTTACCAGAGGGGAGGTGGGTGGAGGATGTGTGAAGGGGATTAAGAGCACATTCATCATGATGAGCACTGAGTAATATACAGAGCTGTTGAATCACTATATTGTACACCTGAAACTAATATAGCACTGCATGTTAACTCTACTGGAATTAAAAAACAAAACTTTAAAAGAGTTTTAAAAAATTAAAATGATTATAATGTAGATATCCAATAAATATCATCTTGAAAAAACAAAACTTCATTTGTAAACATTCCATGGTTTATATTACAAAATAATATATTCTCACTTAACAATATGTTGTTGCTCTCTTCATATATCTACCCATCCATCCAACTACAATATTTACTGAGTGAGCTCGGCTTTAGGCACTGTGCTAAGTGGTGGGTCCACGAGACGTGAGCAAACACGTTATTTTCATGTAGCTCACAGTCTTGATGGATGATAATTTTGTTACTTACCCACATATCATGCTTCTAAGGTATTTTAAAGAAATATTCAGTGAACTTTTCTTTTGGAGGGTTGGAGAACAGAAAATGATGAAGAAACAATATCCTTGAAAGAGTTAAGCTACTGGAATCAGAATTATTAAGCTAAAAATGACCTTTGTGCTCCTTTTTTTTTCTTTTCCTTTTTTTTAAGGCAGGCTCCACGCAGGGCTGGGCGTGGAGTCCAATGCAGGGTTTGAGCCCACAACCCTGAGATCAAGACATGAGCTGAGATCAACAGTCGGAGGCTCAACCAACGGAGCCACCGGTGCCCCACCTTCGTGCTCTTCTAATCCAGTAGTTCCTTAAACTTTTTAAAAGCAGACTCTTTTTTTTTCAAACCGAATTTCATATGAAGCCCCAATATATAAAGAAAATGTAAACACAGCTGCTCTGATGAAAGTGGAAAGTCACCCTGTCTCCTCTTCCCTCAGCTGGGCAGCTGCTCAGAGTCCGAGGGTTCGAGACCTAGCTCTGCCTATATTTTAGAATGGGAAGCAGAGTCTCAGACAGCCGTGTGATCTGTCATGGCAGATGCTGAATGGGAACCAGGACCCCGTGTTTTCATTCCAGTTCTGCCTTTTATGCCACATTCATTAAACTCCAGAGATACTTCTGAAGCACATTTGAAAGCACACACAGTAAACTGGCAATTACAGTTCGTTTTGTTCATGTATCCATTAATACATATGTATCGAGCAAATACTATGTACCAGGCACTGCTCAGGGTGCTGGCCATCCAGGGAGGACACAAAGGATGAGGTCCCTGTCGTTACGGAGCATATATGGCTGGTTGTGCAGAGCTCGGAGGACAGCCAGCATCAGGAGAAGACAGTGATCTGGGCTGGGGCAGGACGGGGCACGGCGGAGTTCTGGCAGGAACAAAGGCGCCCTGCGCCTTGAGTGGGAGACAGGCAGAGAACAGCCAGGGACGAGCCCGGAGGAACGGAAGACTCACATCACCCAGGGCCTTGAGGACTGCAGTACAGACTCTGAATTTCTTTCCGAGTTCACTGTAACCTACTGAGGGCTTCTCAGCAAACAGTAACACCATCTGATACCTCTCTTACCAAGTTCACCTTGGTGGGCTGGACTTTGACTATGTAATAATTACTGCTGGTAACAGTAACAGTGATAACTAATTTTCAGTACGCACTTACTATGTGTCAGCCACCACTCAAAAAGCTGTACACACAGCATTTAGCAACAGGCATATAACTTAGGCCACCACTGTGACTCTCATTGTACAGAGGAAACCGAGGCAGAAGTGAACCTGCATAGGGGCTCCAGCTGGTAAGTGGCAGATGCACAGTCCAAACCCAGAGCTGATTCCAGAGCCGTCTGGATGGAACTCATGAGAAGGGGCTGCTTCTCGCATACACTGTAAGGTTGGGTCCACACACTTGCTCATGCGCTAGGTGTGGGCTGTGAGGGATGAGCAGAGCAAAGGGGTCCTCTGGGATTGAAGACGGCACTAGATACTGCTCAGTGACAGAGGGTGCAACCAATATTGTTTTCGTATCTTTTTTTTTTTTTAAGATTTTATTTATTTGAAAGAGAGAGAGAGAGAGCACACAAGCGGGGGGGGGCAGCAGAGGGAGAGGGAGAAGCAGACTCCCAGCTGAGCAGGGAGCCCAATGCGGGGCTCGACCCCAAGACCCTGGGATCATGACCTGAGCCGAAGGCAGATGCTTAACCAACTGAGCCACCCAGGTGTCCCTGTTCTCATATCTTTTTATAAAAAAGACATTTTATGGTATGTGGACACGA